AAGCCGCCGCCGCCGCCGCCGCGACTCCGGAACCGATCCCGAGACATCGCTGCAGTCAAGGGGCGGTTGAGGCAGAAGCGGAGAAGTCGCTCGGGGAACGTGGATGCCACCTTGCTTCGCACAAAATGGCGGACGACACAAGCGGCGCACCGCCTTTGTCCTCTTCTTAAATAGGCCAGCGCGGCCTGGCCCGCCTTCCCGAGATTGACAGTTCCGCGACCCAATAGCAAGTGCGGTACTTGATGATGAAACCTAAATCTTCCTTATTGGCTGCCTAGAGAGAGGCGGGAGGAAGGGAGGGGCTGGGTTTTCCACTTGGCCTATGAAGGGGTAAGGAGTTGCCTGTGCGCCTCTGTGATTTGTTGGAAGAAATTTGAATGGGCGATGCCTCGCAACTTTCCCGTGAAATCAAATATCCAGGGCCACATCAGCTCCTGATAGGCTGGGAAAGCTCTTTTCTTTCTTCTATTCTTCTTTGAGCAGTCCGCTATTCTCGTCCAGAAAAACATATTCACTGGTTCGAAGTTATAAATTGAGCACCTGGTATCTAACTCTTCTTTGTGCCAATGAAGTTAGAGAAAAATCTCACAGAGTCTTTAAGAACAAATATTTATTTCATTGAAACCTCATCGGAGGCTAGCAAGTTGGCAAACACATGTGACCCCATCACTTGGGAGGTGGAAACAGCATGATCAGGAGTTCAAGTTTATCTCTACATTATCAACTGCATTCAGTTAGAAGCCAGCTTGGGCTACATGAAACGTAAAAAAATAAAAAATAAAAATAAGAAAAAGGAAAAGAAAAAATAGCCCATAGGCCCATAGGAGCACAAGTTGTTGTAGCACTATAAAATATGCCATTAGGCTTAAGCGAATACAGTCTTTGTCCAAGAGAAAAACTGAGTTAGAGAGCTGAGGACACAGCCTGGCATGCAGAAGTCACAGTTTAATCCAAACATAGGGGTAAAAAAGATAGATTATGACTGCATGTATGTATACAGTAACAATTTACAAACACAAATCTTGGGAGAGGAACATTAATTTTTCTCTTTTGATTTTTTGAGACAGAGTTTCTCTCTGTAGCCTTGCCTGTCCTGGAACTCACTCTGTAGACCAGACTGGCCTCGAACTCATAGATCTGCCTCCCTCCCAAGGGCTTGGACTAAAGGCATGCAACCACCAGGTTGGCTGAGGTGATTTTGTTTTGTTTTGTTTCTCTTTGATTTTGGTTTTTCGAGACAGTGTTTCTCTGTGTAGTTTTGGTGCCTTTCCTGGAACTCACTCTGTAGCCCATGCTGGTCTCGAACTCATAGAAATCCACCTGGCTCTGCCTCCCAAGTGCTGGGATTAAGGCGTGTGCCACCACTGCCCGGTGATTTTTTTATTTATCCCCTCCACTTAATACTTCATAAACAGATAAGAGACTTTAAAAATTACTTAGGTGCCTGGGTGGTGGTGGTACACACATTTAATCCCAGCAATCGGGAGGCAGAGGCAGGCAGATCTCTTTGAGTTCGAGGCCAGCCTGGTCTACAAATCGAGTTCCAGGAAAGGCGCAAAACTACACAGAGAAACCCTGTCTCAAAAAAACAAAAACAAAAAATACTTAGGTGAGAGCACATGACTTTAATCCCATATGACTTGGGAGACAGAGGTAGGTGCATCTGTGTGAGTTGGGAGGCCAGTCTGATCTACAGAGTGTTCCAGGACATCAAGGGCTACGTAGAGAGATCCTGTCTCAAAAAAATAAAAATTAGTTGGGTGGGATGACACTATGTAATCTCATAATTTAGGTGGTAAAAGCTGGAGGCTCAAAGCCTGCATCATTTACATCTCATACCATAGCTATGTAGTGAGACCCTGTTTCAAAAAACAATAGTTATTACCCTAAAAGGGACAAGCATGGATTGCCCTAGGAAGGGGAAATAGATAAGATCTCCTGGGTAAACAGGGGTGGGGGTGGGTGGGGGTGTTAGGGGGATATGAACACTAGGTAACAGGAAGGTTGAGTTGCGGGAGGGACAGAGAGAGAGAAGGGAAAGAGATATCTTGATAGAGGGAGCCATTATGGGGTTAGAGAGAAACTGGTGCTGGGAAAATTCCCAGGAATCCATAAGGATGACCCCAGCTAAGACTCCTAGCAATAGTGGAGAGGGTGCCTGAACTGGCCTTCCCCTGTAATCAGATTGATGACTGCCCTAATTGTCATGAGAGAGCCTTTATCCAGTAACTGATGGAAGCAGATGCAGAGATACCCAGCTAAGCACTGAACCTGGACCCAGCTCCTGGACTCAAGTCGAAGACAGGGAGGAGGGATTATAGGAACAAGGGAAGTTGTGTGTCAAGATCATGATGGGGAAACCCACAAAGACAGCTGACTTGAGCTAGTGGGAGCTCACTGACTCTGAACTGACAGCTGGGGAACCCGCATGGGACCAAACTAGGCCCTCTGAATGTGGGTGACAGTTGTATGGCTTGGTCAGTTTGTAGGGCCCCTGGCAGTGGGACCAGGATTTATCCCTAGTACATGAACTGGCTTTTTGGAGCCCATTCCCTGTGGAGGGATATCTTGCTCAGCCTTGATGCATGGGAAAGGGGCTTGGTCCTGTCTCAAGGTGAAATGTCAGACTTTGTTGACTCCCCTTGAGAGGCCTTACCCTCTCTGAGGAGTGAATGGGGGTGGAGGGGGAGTGTTAGGAGCGGGAGTGTGAGGAGAGGAGGGAGGAGGAACTGTAGTTGGAATCTAAAATAATTTAAATAGGGCTGGAGAGATGGCTCAGAGGTTAAGAACACTGGACCTGAGTTCAATTCCCAGCAACCACATGATGGCTTACAACCATCTGTAATGAGATCTGGCGCCCTCTTCTGGCCTGCAGGGATACATGCAAACAGAACACTATACATAATAAATAAATAGTTAAAAAATAAATAAATAAAAAATAATAATACTAATTTAAATAAAATAAAATAAAAAGCAGGCTGAGCAAGCCAGTAAGCAGCACTCCTCCATGGCCTTAGTATCAGCTCCTACCTTCAGGGTCCTGCCCTGTTTGAGTTCCTTTCCTATCTTCCTTCAATGACAGACTACAATGTGGAAGTGTTAGCCAAATAACCCCTTTCTTCTGAGAAAAAAAAAAGTTACCATATTATATATTAGGTTGGGTATGCTATAATCCCAGCACTCAAGAGGCAAAGGCAGGTGGATCTCTGTGAACTGGAGGCCAGCCTGTTCTACATAGTGAGTTCCAGGCCATCAAGAGCTACATAGTGAGACCCTGTCAGAAAAAAAAAAAAATTATGCAGAGTTAAGGACATAACTCAGTAATAAAGTGCTTGTCTAGCTTGCAAGCCCTTTACTATTTTGAGGCCTTAGGTTCAACCCTCAGCTCCACAGGAACAAAATTTTTTATGATATTAAGGTATTGATAAGTATCAATATGAAATCAACCAATTGTGGCAGCAACCCTTTTCCTTCAAAGTCCCCAAACCCCCCAGTGTTGGGCCAGCAAGATGATTAGTTCAGATACAGGTTCCTGCTACCAAGCCTGATGATTTGAGTTCAATCACTCAGACCCACATGGTGAAAGGAGAGAACGAACTCCTGCAAGCAAGTTGTCCTCTGATGTCCACACATGTCCATATATGCACGGGCCCACAAAATAAATGTCATTTAAAACATCCCCAGGCTTCCTGGGACCTAGAAGTCCAAGATACCAACTGCTCCACCACTGAGATGTTTCCCCGGACCCTCTATATCTTCCGTGATGACAACTAACCATATCCTTTAGTGCCCCTCCTAGCTACTGTCTCTTCTCTTTATTTTTATTTCATTATTAGCTTATTATTGCTATTATTATTTTTTTAGTAAGTTTTTTTCTGTGTAGCCCTGGCTACAAAGAACTCAGAGATCCACCTGCCTCTGCCTCCCAAGTGCTGGGATTAAAGGTGTGCACCACCAACTCCCTGCTTTATTTTTTTTTTTTAAAGACAGGGTCTCTATATAACCCTGACTGTGCTGAAACCCTGTAGACAATGCTGGCCTCAAACTTACAGAGATCCCCCTACCTCTCTTTCTCCTGAGTGCTGAGATTAAAGATGTGTGCCATCACACCTGGCTTTGAATTCTTATATTCAGAATTTGTTTCATCTGGTTTAGATATTATCACTGCCTACAAACATAAAATCCTTGTTTTCTTATCCACACTAAGCTGATAAAATGACTCCAACGATTCCCTTTCTCTCATAGATCCTTAAGTTGTCACATTAAATTCTGTTTTGTCCTTTGACCTTTTACAGCGTGTGTGTGTGTGTGTGTGTGTGTGTGTGTGTGTGTGTGTGTGTGTGTGTGTGATGCACCTGGAGATCAGAGGACAACTGGCCAGGCCAGCCAGAGATACAAAAAGAGACCCTGTCTCAAAACAAGGAAACACAAAACACATGGATCTCCAAAGTCACCAAGTGTTATAGCCTGGAAGACAAAAGGTGTTGAGTCTGAAAAGTGTAAGCAGCATATCACAGGAAGTTTGTAATACTGAGAAGAATGTTTGTCTTCGTATTGAACAGCAAATTGAAGGAATAAGCTGGAATGGTGGCTCATGCCTATAATTCCAACACCCAGGAACTTGAGGAGAATCACTGCAGGTTCAAGGCCAGCTAGGACTATATAACAAGACTTTTTCTAAAAGAGTGTCAAGGTGGCATATGCCACCATGCCCAGCATGAAGATAATCATTTTTAAATCTTTTTAGGGGGAGGACAAAAAAAATCTTTATTTGGGGCTGGGAATATGGCTCCGTGTGCTCATCTAACATTTGTGGTGACATCCCCAACACTGTAAAAACTAGCATGGTGGCACATACCTGTGTTCCCAGGTATGAAAGTAGATGCAGGAAAAGCTGAATATTTTTGTTTGTTTTTTTGGTTGTTCGAGACAGGGTTTCTCCGTGTAGTTTTGGTGCCTGTCCTGAATCTCACTCTGTAGACCAGGCTGGCCTCGAACTCACAGAGATCCGCCTGGCTCTGCCTCCTGAGTGCTGGGATTAAAGGCGTGCGCCGCCACCGCCCGGCAAGAGCTAAACTTTAAGGACATTCTTGGTACATAATGTACTCAAGAACAAACTGGGCTATGTGAGATTCTTGTTCTGGTGGAAGTTCCACCTCAGCCCCCTGCATCCATATGCCCAAAGAGTCTGGAATGTTCTGGTGGAAGCTCCACCTCAATCCATCTTCAGGTTCTCTCTTTCCCCAAACCCTGCCTCATCTCAGAAAGCCCTCTGAACATGGCTCCTCCCCCAGAGATGCTCAAGACCACCCCCAGAGGGTATTTAAGTTCTGGCACAAGACTTCCCCTCTGGGTACCCCTTCATGGCTTCTCCTCTTCCACTGGGACCACCCAGGAATGATCTGCCCAGATTAAACATGGATTCACTAATTTGGCCTGATCTGATTTATTACATCAGCATTGGTGGCAGTGGTTACTACCTGGGGATTTAAACTTTTTGATTCTGTCTCAAAAATCTTTATTGTACTGAATCAAAACTATTCAGATTAGATTGTACCAGCCACTTAGGTCTCAGCAAGGCTGCATGACCCTGCAGAATGAGAGATAAAGCAATTGGAAGGCAGACTGGACCCATCTTCATTCAACATTACTATCAGCTACTGGATATTGGTGCATTTCTGTTAATAAGTTCTCCCTTATGAGAGAAGAAAAGCAGTGATATGCTGACATCTTAGAAACATTGTCTAACCAGGCGGTGGTGGCGCACGCCTTTGATCCCAGCACTCGGGAGGCAGAGCCAGGCAGATCTCTGTGAATTCAAGGTCAGCCTGGTCTACAAAGCTAGTTCCAGGACAGGCACCAAAGCTACACAGAGAAACCCTGTCTCGGGGAGGGGGCAGGGATTGTCTAGCCTTGTGTTCCAGAAAGCCTGGCACAGCATTACAGCATAGGACCACTAGCCTATAAGGACAGCCGCATCATCAGCATGGTCATGGACCATGAAGACACCCTAATGGTTCATGGGTTTGTCCTGCACTCAGTCAGATGACCCCCCTCTCCTTGAGACACTCAAGATTTCCCTCCTCCCTCCTCCTCCTGATGTGGTCACATTCCTCCAGATGTTCCAAACATTGTACACAAACCTGCAGCACCAAAGTAAGCAAGTGCTGGGATTACAGGCATGTGGCCAACCTGTGTGTAGTTCTTCTAACAGTCACTCACATTAACAGTTTAGAAACAGTGCTAAACTGTGTATCTAACCATGAGGGCAGTGACCAAGCTTCCTCCTGGTGGTTTTGTGTTCCTTGTGTGTGTTCATTGAATTATTTTGTGTAGTTGTGTGCATGTGTGTGCATGCCACAGAATGCTTATGGAGGTCAGGGGACAATTTGTAGGAATCAATTCTCGCTCTTCTTCTACCACATGGGTTCTAGCGAAACTGACCTCAGGTGATCAGGCTTCATGACAAGCACCCACCCACTCTGAGTTATTGCTCTGGCTCAATTTTGGGGTTTTTTTGTTTTGTTTTGTTTTGGTTTGTTTGTTTGTTTGTTTGTTTTTGAAACAGGGTTTCTTTGTGTAGCATTGACTCTCCTGGAACTAGCTCTGTAGTAGTGAATTATTGTGTTTGAGTGGCATTAAGAACAATTTCCACCTTGTAGCACTCTGAATGCAGGTGATCTGACCATTCAAACACTATAATTACAACACATGAAAGTTGTAATTATCCTCTGGTTTGAGTTTTTATGAGGCCTAGAAGGGTAGGAGATGGAGATAATATGCTTGATGAAACACAATTTTGCTTCCTGATGAATATTAATTAACTAAATCTGCATCTGCAACTGAACCCTGAGGGCTTGTGAAAACACAACATTGGTCATTGCATGTTAATTCAAATTTATAGTTCTCTCAACTTTCCTCAGGCCATTCTTTTTCGGCTGTATGGGCATATGTCTCTGGCATTTCACCCAACCCAACAGAGACCTGAAATTACTTGTTTTGGGGACAGATTGGGGGCAAAGAAAGAGGGCACCTAAGCTTCCAAATTCACCATTCCTTGTTCTGGTACCTGTCAGGAAGTGAATCCAGCTGGGGCCCGACTGGCGAACTGCAACGTTGCAGTGAAGATCCTCACCACTAGGTGTCTCACTGGCCATGTCACGTCCCCTGTCACCTTGGCAAACAGCTCCTGTGCATACTCCATATTACCCCCTTGTTATTGAGACTCCAAGCAAGTTAACCTTTCTGAAGGGTTGATTTCAGTGCTCGGGTCAAATTCCGAGATCTAATCAGTGTCTAGATCGCCTCCCTAAATAACAGAAACATTGGATTAACAGCTTTGTCTCACTGCTTTCATCTATTTAGGGACAACATGCTATGTCTGCATCATATCTAATTACTTCTATATCATCCAGAGAGTCCTATGGGGTGTGGGGAGGGGAACGAAAGGTTTTCCTTTAGTATTAGCTTGGAGTGATCACGATGAGTGGTTTGAATTCCAACACCTCTCACCCCCAAAGTGACTTAAATGTCTTCCTAGACTTTGCTGTACTTACTTTCATCTCAAAAGTATTTATCAAGCCGGGTGGTGGTGCACATCTCTAATCCCAGCACTTGGGAAGCAGAGGCAGGTGGATCTCTGAGTTTTTGGCCAGCCTGGTCTACAGAGCAAGTTCCAGGAGTCAGGGCTAACACAGAGAAAACCTATCTCAAAAAAAAAAAAAAAAAAGTGTTTATCATCCTTCAACTGCTCCTAAATTTACCACTTAAAATCACTTAAAGGTGATAAGAAGAAAAAACTAAGGAAGCTACAGTATATAACATTACCAAGACAGAAGATGATAGTTCAAAAGCAGATCCTGTATATATGAATTTTTGCCATAAGAAAATATTAGAAGTGCCGGGTGGTGGTGGTGCACGCCTTTAATCCCAGCACTTGGAGGCAGAGGCAGGTGGATCTCTGTGAGTTTGAGGCCAGTCTGGTCTACAGAGCTAGTCCAGGACAGGCTCCAAAGCTACAAAGAAACCCTGTCTCAAAAAACCAAATATATATAGATATATAAAATATATATATTTTATATATATTAGAAGCAAGGCATGGTGGCACAAGCCTTTGATGCCAGAACTTAGGAGAGAGAGGCAGGTGGATCTCTGAGTTATTGAGATTGAGTTCCAGGAAAGCCAGGGCTACACAGAGAAACCCTGTCTCAAAAAACTACTACTAATAATAACTTATTTATTATTAGTGTGTGCTTATGTCATGGAATGTGGATGGAGGTCAGAGAACAGCTTTTGGAGTCAGCTTTGTGGAACTGGGTTCTCTGCTTCCATTTTTATGTGGGTTCTGGGGTCCTGCTTCAGGTTAGAAGGCTTGCATTATTGGGCAGGAAGTAGCTTTACAACCTGAGCCAGCTCATTGGCACCGGGGCATAATTCTAAATCCTGGACAAATGTCATGTACACATTTGTCTGTAGATGTAACCAACCGTCTTATCAAATGAGAAACACAGAACCAATGCAAAGAAGAAAGTCAAGAGATCAGAGCTAAGAGCCTTACCCTTCCAGCTGAAGCTAGCCTCTTCAGGCAAGAGACCTCTCCAAAAGAGTACTTTCTGTGTTTGTCTTTAATATAGTCTTTCTGTTCTGCCTTCTCATTGGTTGTAAACCAAACACATGACTGCCTCATCACTGCCTGTATGTACAGCCCTCCAGGTCTTAAAGGCGTATGTCTCCAATGCTGGCTGTATCCTTGACCACACAGAGATCTACCTAGCTCTTTTACCAAGTGCTGGGATTAAAGGCATGCGCCACTACCGCCTTGCTCTTGCTATGGCTCTAATAGCTCTGACCCCCAGGCAACTTTATTTATTAACATACAATTAAAATCACATTTCAGTACAAATAAAATACCACCATATTTGTCATCTTAGCATGGTTAATAATAGCCTTGAATTGAAAATATCCCTCAGGTCTGGAGAGATGGATCAGCGGTTAAGAGCAATGGCTGCTTTTCCAAAAGACCCGGGTTCCATTCCCAGCACCCACATGGCAGCTCACAACTGTCTGTAACTCCTGTTCCAGGGGATCGAACACCCTCACACATACATTTATGCAAAACACCAATGTACATAAAATACAAATAAATAAATAATTTGAAAAATATTCCATGTTGTCCTCCGTATTCAAGGTGACCACATTTTTTGTTTTGCTGAGGACAATACAGGGTTTCACTGTGTAGCTTTGGAGCCTATCCTGGATCTTGTTCTGTAGACCAGGCTGGCCTCAAACTCACAGAGATCTGCCTGGCTCTGACTTCCAAGTGCTGGGATTAAAGGTGTGCGCCACCACTGCCCAGCTGACAATACTGTTTTAAGTGATATTCCCTCTTTTTTTTTTTAGATTTATTTATTTATTATGTATACAGCATATATGACTGCAGGCCAGAAGGGGGCACCAGATCTCATTACAGATGGTTGTGAGCCAGCCAGGTGATGGCACACACCTTTAATCCCAGCACTCGGGAGGCAAAGCCAGGTGGGTCTCTGTGAGTTTGAGGCCAGCCTGGTCTACAGAGAGAGATCCAGGAAAGGCACCAAAACTACACAGAGAAACCCTATCCCCCGCCCCCCCCAAAAAAACCCAACAACAACAAAAAAGATAGCTGTGAGCCACCATGTGGTTGCTGGGACTTGAACTCAAGATCTCTGGGAGAGCAGTCAGTGCTCTTAACATCTCTCCAGCCCCATGATATTCCTTCTTAAGACAACTTTCTGGCTAGTAGCCCATTAGTATCTTGCAGATAGGCCAGTTTTTCTAGTTTGTACAAATGCATCATTGAGATTAGCCACTGTTCATTGAGTTGCAAATATGAGATTTTTTTCTGTTTTCTTGTTTTTCTCCAGTGTTCTGAATTTCTCCCTCCCACGCTCACTCTCTTTCTTTGTGTGTGCCTGTGAAAGTCTACATGTGCATTTGAGAGTTTATGTAGAACTGCATATATGTAGGTGTGGAGGTCAGAGGTCAACCTTGGGTATTGTTCTTCAGGCATGACTAGTCACCTTAAAAAAGGAATTAAAGCCAAGAGGTGGTGGTGCAGGCCTTTAATCCCAGCACTCAGGAGGCAGAGCCAGGCAGATCTCTGTGAGTTCCAAGGCCAGCCTGGTCTATACAGCTAGTTCCAGGACAGACTCCAAAACTACACAGAGAAACCCTGTCTCAAAAAAACAACCAAAAAAAATTTTATTAAAAAAAAAAAAAGAAGAAGTAAGCCACCATCCTCAGCTAGCCATTATTGTTGTTATCATTACTATTTATTGAGACAAGGTCTCTCTCTATATAGATCTGGCTGGATTCGAATACCTAGAGATCCTGCCTCCAAGATCTGGAATTCAAGGTATATACATGCCTGTCTACTTATTTGTTATTTCTTTGAGAGAGGATCTCATGTAGCTCGGGATAGCCTTGAACTCACTGTGGAACTGAGGTTGGTCTTGAATCCCTGATCTTCCTGCGTCCATGTCCTAAGTACGGGGATTATAGATATGTGCCATGATGCCCAGCTCTGTATGTATTTAGGCCTTTAAATGCTGAATTATCCAGCCTCATAGAACAAATTATATTCAGTCGGGCTTTTTTTTCATACATTGTGTAGATCATCATCTCAGGTGGAGGGTGTAGCTCCATGGCAGAGCCTTTGCCTAGTAGGGGTGAGGACCCAAATTCAACCCTTGGAACTGAAAATAAAAATCAGCTGTGGTTTATTTGACTTGGGTTGGCCAAGCATAACTGGTGAAAAAAATTGGCTTGTGTGTTGTTAGTTTTCAATTTCTTTTCTTTTCTTGAGACAGCGTTTCTCTGTGTAGTCCTGGCTGTCCTGGAACTCATGCTATAGACCGGGCTAGCCTTGATCTCAGAGATCTGCCTCCTTCCAGCCTAGTCCACAAAGTGAGTTCCAGGATAGCTAAGCCTACATAAAGAAACTTTGTCTCAAAAGACCAAAAAAAAAGAAAGAAAGAAAAGAAAGAAAGAAAGAAAGAAAGAAAGAAAGAAAGAAAGAAAGAAAGAAAAGAAATTCCACGCAACCTAAGTCAGAAGCTCATTTTTTAGTAAAAGGGGGACCTGTAGGGTACTGTCCTGTCCGTCCGTCCCGTCCCCCTCCCCCCCTTTTGGGTAACTGTTGCCTTGCTTGCTGACCTTGACCTTGATATCCTCCCTATGCTAATTCCCTGCCGGGTTCCACCCTCCTGAATGCTTAAGGGAAGTTCCTTGTCTGTGTATCCTACATAAAGGGCATTAACAGCTTAGATGCAAGATTGTAAAACATGGGTAGCAAACTTCTGCCCTCCCGGGTTCTCCCATTGTGCTGTAAGCCTGTATTTAAGACCTCCTCCCTTCTTCAATAAACAGCATTCGGCATTAAAAATAAAAAATAAAAAATAAAAAATAAACCCTTTCCTACTGAAATGCTTTTGGACATGGTATTTTACCACAGCAATAGAAACCCTAAGGAAGACACCATGGGTCTCAGGCATTGGCTCCCCTGACATAGCTGTGCTTGTCAACAAACACACATTCACTCGTGACTTCATCTGCTACCCACACCACATAAATCTCTCATGGTGGGACATGCCTCCAATACCAGCACCTGGGAAGTGGAGAGGCAAGAGGAGAGGAGTTCAAGGCAATCCTTGGCTACCTAGGCTGTTGGAGGCTATTATTGGTTATACGAGGTTTGGTGCTCCCTGGGATTCTGAATCTAGGTCCAAAGACAGCCTGCGACATCCCTCAGTTGACAGATGTATAAAAAGGAGGAGAATTAGAAGCCAATAGGCTTTAGTATATGGACAGCCATGATGGAGTGATGCTGGTGAAGGAAGCCTACAAAAGAATCTGTGCACAGCTCTTGAATGCCTGGTTTCAGCTGGTTCTGCAGCCTGGTTAGCCCCAAGGTGTGGAAGTTCATGCTTTTCTCAGTGAATTTGGTACTGTAGTCACCTTATGACAAAATACTTGAGAAGTATATTTAATTTTTAAATTCTTAAAGACTGTTTTGAATTATGAGTGTCTGTATGGGTATATATGTGTGTGTGTGTGTATATATATATATATATATATATAGATAGATAGATAGATATAGATATATAGATATATGCAGGTG